GTGTGCTATGGCAACAGGAAGAGAAGTAGCTCTTCCCAAAAGAATGCAGAAAACACCACCCATTGTTTGAAGAGTCCAAAGAGTCCAAAGCCTTCCCCTCATTCCGAAATGTCGAGCCATATAATCGGAAGCGAATCCACCGAACGGACGGGCCAACAGATTCGCCATGCCGAATGTTGCCGCTATCACTCCGGCTGTGTGAAGCTTTAGGTCAAATCTGTTCGATTATATATTGTCACAATATTAGATTAGTCAAAATAAAATTATTGCATTTAATTCACTAAGCATGGATAATTAAGGGCTAATAAGATTATTTACCTATCGTAAAAGTATTCGGCGATGACGTTATCGGTTGAGAGTTCAACGCCCATGGAGTAACCATATAACAGAACAAAAATCCATGTCCTGTAGTTTGTCACTGCATACCACAACACCTGAATATACCAAAGATACATAATAATAATAATAATATATAATAATAATTAGCCCATTAAATTACATACAATTTAAAATAATAATAATAATAATAATAAAAGAAAATATAATCAATGTTCAATACCTTGCCGAATTTATCTTTAGCAACTTCTCCCTTCTTTTGGAGGGTACTTAGATTTCCATCAGGCAAATCTTGGCCAAGTGTTAAGACCAAAAGACCCATGATGATATGTAGCCATCCTGGTATGAAGAAGGCGATTCTCCAGGCGGTGAACGGCGTCGCTCCGGCGCTCTTGATTATCTCGAAAAGCAGCGGCATCAGTAGCTGGGTGGCGCCGCCTCCCATGTTCCCCCATCCTGCGGCGGTTCCGTTGACAAGACCGATGATCTGACTGTTGAACATGGTGCTCATCCAGTACTGGCAAGACACAAAAGTTGCAAGAGAGAATCCGATCATGAAACGGACCGCCACGTAGCCGCCGGCGGAAGAGACAAATGACATGCAGAAGACTGTCGGAGCAGTCATCATGACCAGGAACGCGCAACCGTACCTGGGGCCCAGCAGATCGCAGACGGCGCCCATCACCAGCCTGGAAAAAATACTGCCGGAGACGGAGGCGACTCCAGCGTTTCCGATATCTCCCTTGGTGAGGTTGAGGTTGTCTCTGATGATCGGAACAAGTGGGGCGGCGGCGAAGGTGGAGACGAAACAGGTGAAGAAGGAGATCCAGGAAAGATGGAAAGTCCTCATGTGTGGATTAGCGAGGGAGAAGAGTTTGAATTTCTTGGCCTTGTGCTCTGAATCCACCGGCAAATCGAAATGCGCCGTTTTGTCTGTCGGCACCATCGGAGAAGCAACTGAAAATGCAAGCACCGGCTCTCTTCCGGTGACTCCATGCATGGAAGTTCCCGGAGATCCTTCCATTTCAGAATATTAATTTTTTTTTATATATAGTAGTAATATATATCCTTCGTAAATGAAGGAAATGTGTTGATGATGTATAATTACGGGATAATGGGAAGGTTTATATAGTGTCAGGCGTTGACATTTTTGGTCGGCTTTTGAATGAACAAGTGGAGCTTTAACTATGGTTTAATTAACCATAAGCATGATTAACTAGTTTAATTAATTACTACTACTAATAAGAAGGAATCCATTTTTCCGCATCTTGAATGTTAGCCTTATCGTATATCCCAAAGGATACATCTACTACTATTTAATATTTATTCTAAGGTCCCTTGGAATATATTTCCTAATTTAACTAATAATCTATTTTACAGGCAAGTCTTCAGAATTAAGACTTAAGAGTTCGCTTTAATTCGATTCTTTTAACATTTTTTTTCCCGTTCGCGTAAGTTATGAAACTCAGTCGAATTGTAAAACGATAAAATCAAATATCAAATTACATAAACTTGATCGTATGAATTCAGTTAATGGTAATTAGACCAAAATTAATGCATAAATTCCTCAATAAGTATTGACCTTGACTCAACGTGTTTAACATGCATGCAGTGTAGTCAAGGTTAAAGATTTTCTTGATTTTTAATTAGTTAATTAATTAGCAGAATAATTTAATTTACAATCAGTCATATAAATAATAATAAATAAATTCCATAAATAATGAGCCAATTAGTTAAACTACCTTTTTGGTTATGATTTAATTTAGCTTTACAAGATGGTGAAGAGTCTTTTGGAGCTAGTCGATCTTGTTTCATTTCCAGTTGCAATTATTTAATTAACTGCGGCATATTATTAATTGTTACAAAATTTTATTCTTGCAACTTGTAACTCAATCCAGGCCGTACGTCGGATTAGGCATATAATGTCGACATTCAGACCCGTTTCGACGATTTAAAGGGTTCTATAGTCGAAGAATGTAGTCAAAACGACGGCCCTTGTAATTACTTGAAGAAATTATCATTTATTATAAAAATTATTTTTCAAAAATTAAAGTAAAATAAAATTGCTCAACTTAGCTTTTCAGAATATTTAAGATTCTACATCAAGTTAATTAATTAGTTGGTTTGAACTATGAATTATAGATTGTGTACATATATATGAAGAGGAAATTATATTACTGCTGCAATTATTCTGAAAAGGTTAAGTTTGACTAATTAACATGATTAAGATTCTTGATTAATTAATTTATATTCCTATAAGATATTTTGGATCTCTTCATACAGTTAGCTAGGTTGTCACATTTGCACCAATTAAATAAAATTGGTAACGTTCAAAAAAATTCAGAACTCCTTATTAATTAGCATGATTAAAATTCTTAGGGCTCGTTCGGTTACCTATATTGGATTAGATTGGATTACATGAGATTGGATTAACTCCCTACTGACTAATTAATAATTTAGTTAGTAACATGTTCGGTTTCTTAGATTAAATTTTCTATTAAATTTATTTAAATCAGTTATTATATAATGAATTGTCTATAAAACTACTTAGTTTACAATAACAAAATATGATTTTAAGGATAAAATTGTATTTTTCTTTTTTAGCCACCCCCTATTAAATTAATCTCAGGGGGAGGGGTTCTACTAATTTAATGAAATAATAACATTTAATAGCGCATTTTGATTTTAGTAGCGGGTTTGAAAAAGTGTGAATCTTGCCAACCGAACATGTTATTAGCCCCTACTATTTAGTCAGTAGAACCTTATAGCGGTAACCGAACGAGCCCTTAATTAATTTATTTATATTCTTATAAGATATTTTGGGTCTCTTCATATAGTTAGCTACCTTTGTCACGTTTGTACCAATTAAATAAAATTCGTAACGTTCGAAAATAAATTGAGAAGTCGTTATTAGTTATTGTCTGTGATATTCAAAAGATTCTTTCTTATTTGGGAAGTATCTGAAATATCTCTTGGGATATTCAAAAAATATTCAATATTATAAATAATCTCTTTGATTACTATTAATAACTTTCCAAAATCTTGTGAAGTATCTTAAATATCTCGTAAACAAACAATACAATTAAAAGATTTTATGATTAATAGATAAAAATGTGAATAATTGCTTCCATTATAAGTCCTTGCCATGATCACATAACTAATTAGCTGGATGAATATAAGAAGATTTGTTGATAATTGATTCCGAAGATATACACACGCATATATATATATATATATATATATATATATATATATATATATATATATATATATATATATATATATAGAGAGAGAGAGAGAGAGAGAGAGAGAGAGAGAGAGAGAGAGAGAGAGGGGGGATCGGGTAATTGAGCCGGGCCTACCTGAAACCGCATGGCTCGGCTGATTCTTTTTTTAGCCGAGCCGAATTAATCCATTTTTATTTGAACTGAATAAAAATCGTCATGTACATTTGATTTCTTTTTTTCATTTCATCAACTCTAAAATAAACTTAAAAAATATACGAATTTGTAATCAGAATATCAAACATCAATCGGAAAAGTGTTTTCAGATCACTAATCTTGAAACCTTTCACGTATTTTTTTCATTTACATTACTATAGACACGTTTGGCTAAACTTAGTTTGAAACAGCTGATAAGCTATTACTTTTAATAAGTTGTATTAAAAGTTAATAAGCTACTAGGTCTTATTTTTAAAATTAATTTTTGAAGTGCTTGGATAACGAGCTTATAAGTTGGCTTTACTAATTATAAGATGTTAAACAAAAATGTGGAGTAGATATATTTTTAAAAAATGATGTTATATGCTCTCCAACGACTTTTTTTTTTTTTCTAAGATTTTTTTCAATAAAATTACTAAACACTAAACACTTTGAAAGAAATTATAAGCCGTTAAACTATGTTCAAGTTTATAATTCAATTATTATAAGAGTGCGGAATGACGATAATCAATCAAGTTGTTAATGGTGAATCGCGAATTAATAATTATGAATTAATATATAATTTAGAGTAGTAATCACTAATTAATCTCGTGTGGTCACACTCTTCCCACGCACATTTTTTAGAAATATCTAAGAAGACTTTCCTATTATATTGCTGAAATGTACTTAATTTAATAAATAATTACAAAAAAAATCTTGGAATATTATTTAAATTTATTTAGTCAGATATGCATCATCATCCGCCTACGCCTGATAAAAGTTGGCAAAAAAGTCAGTCCTTACAAGTTGTTGATTGATTAATTTTGAAATAATATTAGTTAGTGTAAATTACATCTACACCCCTAAGGTATACTAAAATAACTTTAAGGTCCCTGTAGTATTAATAATTACAGCCACACCTCTAAAACAATTACCGGAGCCAAAATTTCATGTCCTGAGGACCGATATGAACTATATTTGTTTCCCGCGGGGCAGTCAATGCTATCATAGACAAAAAATTATAAATCACATATAAAATACTAATGATTTAAGAAATGTTAGGAGAGCCATGTCACCCCCTATCTCTATGTCGTCTCCACCACTGCCTCAAACTAATAGTCCGTCAGAGCCTTAACGGAATAACTTATCCAATGCAATACTCCGTTAAGGTTTTTAACAATGTTTCGGGGGGTGTTTGTAATTAATGATACTACAGGGACCTTAAAGTTATTTTAGCATACTTCAGGGATGTAGATATAATTTAACCATTAGTTAATTATACGTAATTAATTTTCTATATAACCTTTCTTTTTCTTTTTTTCGAATCATTTTGTATATAACCTTTCACAAGCACTTAGAGGTTTTTTTTTTTTTTTTTTTTTTTATTTATTTATTTAAATTCCATAATTATTTTCCAAAGACAGGACTAAAATCAAGGATGGCATTGTCTTGATTTTTATCTGGAAACGTAGTTAATATGACTCGATTAAAGTTTGATCGAACCATTCTCAGTGCAATTTTTAAAGTTCGATAAAAATTCAATAAAGTTTGAACTTCCGTGCTCTCGATTGACTCGGTTTGTTTGCGTCGCTCCTAGCCAATTTTAACGAAATAAAATTTTACGTAGAACTTCAAATATATGTAGTTATAATTTTGCATACTTAATTATTTAATCAAAATTAAGAGAATCTATTAGCATCTTACAAATATATATTAGATATTTTTTTCTAAAGAACTTATAAGAGAATCTATTAGCTCTTAATTAACATGTAATTACTTGGGAACTATATTTAACTTTTCAAAATGTTTATCAATACGATTAATATATAAATACTTTAAATTTATATTTCTAAAGATTATTTAATATTTCTAAATTTGGCATCATATTCCAGCCTAAGCTATTGTACGGTTCAGAATAGGTTTCAAAAGTCAATGCTTGCAAACAATAATAAGATTATTTAATTTAGCTTCCAAAGTTGTTGGCCCCTTTTATGTAAAAGTCAATGCTTTATTATATATATATATGTAATAATTGGACGGTCTATTTTTACTACAGCTAGCTAATTAACTTTGTAATAAGAGTTTAACACATACATATATATATATATATATATATATATATATATATATATATATATATACTTCGAAACTGAAAATGAATGAGCATGACTAGCTGCTCTTAACGACTCTTCACCATCTTGTAAAGCTGAAATCATACTGTGAAAACCTATGTAACACAGACACGTACAAGTGGACACCGCGATACATGGATATGGACATGACAATACTCATTTTTCAGAAAAACTAGGATACGGACATTGGGGTGGACACGCGTAAATATTAAAAATATAAGAATATTGATGATGCTAATATGTAGCTCACCTATGGTGGTGTAGAAAATGAATTGGGAGAGCAAATCGGATCAGTAGTTTGACAACTTGATGATCCTGAGGTACCTGCGAAATGAGCACACGTGAACTACGCCGGGGGTTGATCCGGCGGAAACCCCTCCGACGCTCAAGTCAGACGTACTGATAGTGGAAATAGTCCAGAGAATACAGTTGATAGTATTACTCAGTTAATAGGACGTACCTTAAGGAATGAG